CTCTTCTTTAACTTCCTGCATTAACCCTGGGCCAGTGGTACCTACACCTGAGGCTCCCCCACCTTCCCCAGCTGCACTCATGCCCCTACTCCTGTCTTGTGCTTTATTCTGCCCCTGCTCCCCATTGCCTGCCCGCAGCAGCCACGAAACGTCCATCTGAGGAGCCCGGGCCTTGCCAGGAGGGGCACCCACCCCACCCAAGGCCACCTAGTGCCAACTCCCTCCCCCACCATCCCCCTCACTGCACTTTGGACCCCTGGGGCCAACATCTCCAAGACAAAAGTTTTCAGAAAAGAGGAAAAAAAAAGAATTTAAAAAAGGATCTTCACTCTTCATGACTTCAGGGATTAATTTTTTTTATACGCTGGAAACTGACTCCCCTTTCCCTTCCCAAAGAGGATAGGACCTCCCAGGATGCGCCCCAGCCTCTCCTCAGTTTCCCATCTGCTGTGCCTCTGGGAGGAGAGGGACTTTTGGGGGGTCTGTCCCTCAGTTGCCATCACCAAAAGGAAAGGACAAAGCCACATGCCCCCAGGGTGTCCAACCCTGCAGGCTGCACTGGGCAGGCCTCAGTATGGCGAGGGGGGTTGGGGAACAGGGACACTCCTCACCCCCCGCCTGTACTGCCTCTCCCAGGAACTGAAAAAGCCCTGTCCAGTGAGGGGGCAGAAGGACTCAGCGCCCCTGGACCCCCAAATGCTGCATGAACACATTTTGAGGGGAGCCTGTGCCCCCGGGTGGGGGCAGGGCTCCCCAGCCCCTCTCCTTTTCCTGGACTCTGGCCATGTGCTGCAGCCCAGGTGTTTGCTCAGTTTGCTGACCCAAAAGTGCTTCATTTGTCCCGCCCTACCCGCCCTTGGGCAAGGCCAGTCATGTGTTAAGTTGCGCTTCTTTGCTGTTGTGTGGGTGGGATAGGGAGGAAGAGTAAATACAGTGCTGGCTCCATTGCCCTGAGCGGCTTCAAGCACAGGTTTCAAGTCTGGGTTCTGATTTCCACTCGCCCGCCCCCCAGAAAATCAGACAGACTTCACTTTGTCTGACCTGTTGTGGCCTCTGAGACATGTTCTATTTTTAACCCCTTCTTGGAATTGGCTCTCTTCTTCAAAGGACCAGGTCCTGTTCCTCTTTCTTGTCCACGCCTCAACCCCCACCCCAGCTCCCTGCGAAGAGAGAGTTAATATATATATTTTTAATTTATTTGCTTTTTGTGTTGGAATGGGTCTGTGACCATCTCCAGGGGGTCTGATGTGGCCATCACAGGTTGGGTGTGTACCCAGCAGCCCTGGCATAGAGGCCTGGTGCCATTTCCCTCAGCCCAGGCCATCATCCCTCCTCTCCCCTGCCACTCCTCCCACTCCTCAGTATTGCCAACTGCTCTTCATTTGAGTCGCCATTTACTCCAAGCATGTGTTCCAGACTTGTCACACTGACTTTCCTTCTGGAGCAGGTGGCTAGAAAAAGAGGCTGTGGGTGGAAAAAAATATTCCTGTTTCTCATTTATAAGGCTGGTCTCTGGATTTTCTGCCATGGATTCTCCCCCTGCCTTCTCCCCTCGGCAATTCCTGCAAAGGGTTAAAAATTTAACTGGTTTTTTACTACTGATGACTTGACTTTGAAAAAAAAAAAATACAAAGATGCTGGATGCTAACTTGATACTAACCATCAGATTGTACAATTTGATTGTAACTGTAAATATAGTAGGGTTTTGTTGTTTTTGTTTTTCATTTCCCATACTACTGAATAAACTAGTTCTGTGCGGGTCGAGTACCGTCATCATGTGCTCCTGTGTGATGCCTGTTCTCTGGAAAACAAGAGCAAGCAGGGCCCACAAAGTCCCGGAAGGCCGTGCCAGGAGGCTGGGGAGACTCAGATACTAACTGGCTGATGAGCTAGTCCCTCTACTGACATCTCCAGCAGTGCTCCCCACATAGCCTCATCAGCCCAGAACCCTTGTCCTGGCATTTCCAAGGAAGATGTGGCAGGAAGGCAGACAAGTGTCCTCAGGACATGAAGTCTTGTGTGGCTGATGAGGCTGTGTGGAGAAGGCACATTTCCAGCCCAGCCCTCAGGACTGAGTCTGACAGAGGCAAGCTTCCTAGAGGTAGAATGCAGGCAGCTAGGACCGCTGAATTGAGGCTAGTGGAAAATGAAGCAACTAGTCATACTCTTAAGGAGTTCAAGTGGTGTAGTGTTTAAGGCATCTGGCTGCAAACCAAAAGGTTGGTGGTTTGAACCCACCAGCTGCTCTATGGAAAAGATGAGGCAGTCTGCTTCAGTAAAGATTTACAGCCTTGGAAATCCAATGGGGGTCGCTATGAGTCAGAATCAACCCGATGGCAGTGGGTTTTTTTTTTGGTTTAGTTTGACAAACTAGACATAGGGTTAACACAGGGGCAACACAGGGTGGTAATTAAGAACACAAAGCCTGGAAACAGACTGAATGACTTAATCTCTCTGAGCTTAGTTTCTGTCTGCAAAATGAAGATGATGATAATAGCATGTCTAATTGAGCTTTTATGAGGATTAAATGAGTTAACACATGTAAAGTGCTTAGAACAGTTCACAGTGCATTATAAGAGGCCAATAAACTTCGGGTTCCTTCCTTGTTGCTACTGGGGTGGTGGGAGTGGTTAGGGGAAGTGTTGGGGGGTGGAGGTACAGTGCATAAAGAGAAACAAATAGAAAGCCAGCCCAAAAGGGAAGGAAGCAAGCGGGCAGCTGCACAAGAAAGGCAGCTGTGGTGGGTAGGTCTCCTGGCTGGCACTGCCTACTGAATGTGCTGCTTATGCAGGTTTGGAAGGGGAGGAGGCCAGGAGGGGAATAAAACCCAAAACTGACCGGGATGAATGGAACATGCTGTGTCTTCTCCAGCCACCAGGTGGCAACAGCACATAGATCCTCAGCTTGTTCCCACCTAGACCTGGCCAGCACACAAACATGCCACCTTCTGGCCACACCTAGGTGTGTTCCTTGCTGACCTTCCAGAGGCAGAAGTCGCCAACAGGCCCTGCCCATTGCCGTCAACAGGTCCTGTCACACCAGTGCAGGATGCAGATGGGAAGTTCACACCTGAGGTTTTCTTTCCTTACGGCAAATTTCTCCAGAGCCAAATACTCAGCGTCTGTCTCTACACCTATTTCTCCATCAAACCTTGGAATCCCAGAGGCTGTAGGAGTGGTTTCAAGAAGAGGCTCAGGGCAAGGTGAATGTCCAGACAACTATCTATCTGTTTATCTTTGTTAAATAGGTGAACATATTAAACTAATCTTAAGATCAGCTACAAAAAAGGAGAAAGCATCACAGAATCCCTGCCCCCTGGACAGACGAACAGCACTTCAAGTGCCTAGGGCACTTTGAGGCATACAGACATGGGCAGGGGGCTTAGTTAGCAATCCAACTTCCCTTTGCCCGGTTGCCTACTGGCTTCCTTAAATCATGGTCTGGTTTTCAAGGAGGGAATTTCCCTCAGAACTCATAAGGAATTGACATGGTTCTAGTCACAAGAGTCAGAGACTGACGGAAAAGGGAAACACTACCCTGAATCTATTAAATAAGTCTTTGTCATTCATTCAACAAACATCCACCACGAGTTACAATACAAGGCACCACAGAGGTTTATAAACCCTAGTACCAGCCTTCAAGTCTAGAAGGCTAGAGAAGATAACAGAGACAACTTAAGTGATGTAAGGCAGAGTGTGTGATAAGGTGTTCCAGCATCATCTGGCTGAACTGATCAGGGTAAGTGAATACTAGGGTACCCATCAAGGGCCCCCTCATCCCATAAGCACAGCAAACAAGAAGCTGGGGAGCTCCTAGGAGACCCCATTCTCTTGTTAGGGAAGGACACTTAAGTTTAGAGTATAAATAGTAATTTACCTAGGCCTTGGCTTCGCAGCCACACACACTGTGGATTCAGCTCTACTTACCTTTGATTTGGACCTAATAATCTGTGAATCCTGGGAAGAGGCAGCCTGTTCCCATCTAATGCCAACAAGGAGGGTAGTCACAGCCTGAGAAGCTAGAATCTCAAGGCCCTAGAGCCTATTCAGGTCCCTGCCTGGGAAACTCATCCTTGTTCCCTCATTGGAATCACACACAAGTTTAATCCAAGTTTGTAACAAACTAGAACAGGATCCACTTTCAAACAATATAAAAATACATTCATTTTATTTTAGAAAAATGCAGACTGGTGGAGTAAGCTTATCATAAACTGGCCTATTAGGAATCATAGAATTCACAGGAAACAAGTTCTGGAGACCAAGTGCCTCCCTCTCCAAACCGGCCTGAGTCCAGTAGAGGATATGATTCAGGAAGGCTTCTCCTCAGAGAGCAGAGAGGTTAGCTACAGAGTCCACACATATGTAAGTGTCCAGAGAACCATGGCCTGGGAAGAGCAAACTCTCTGGGGCTGAAAGCAAGAGTGGGGGCAGAGAGAACAAACCCACTTTCCTGCATTTTTCATTTTGTGTCTGTTAATTTCACTATTGGAAGGCAACCTCTTTTTCCTTAATTTGCTTTCAACCCAGAGAGTTTGATTCCCCTCTGGCTTGACCTTAATCTACCCCATCTCCCAAGGTCTCACTCCTGGGGGCCCAGCCCTGGCAGCATCTCTTCCTCCTGTCCCTGGGCCAGAATCTGCTGGAGTCAGGGCCTGTCTCCAGTGAGAAGGCTTGGAAGGCCAGACAGAGGTATATCCAGGCAGTAACTGTAGTGGTTGGCTACTGATTTTTTGCTTGCTGTCCGGAAGTCTTTACCTAATGAGGCAGAAAGAGACAAGGCTTTAAATTGTCCTTCTTCCTCTAGCCCATTTGTCATCCAGCTGAGTTCAAGCTCCTTGGGGTCTCACCAGCTGGGAAGAAATGGGACCCCCCTTGTCCCCATACCCAAGGCTTCCCTCCTCAACTGTATCTTGCTACAGGGTCCACAAAAGACTCAGGAATGATGGACATGAGAGCACAGAAGTCCCAGATGACAGGGGAAAGAAAGCATCTCAACCAGACTTACCTGGTAGGTCCTGGGACTGCAACTTTCCTGGGGGGTGGCAGATTGCCACGAGTGGCACTAGTGACAGGGAGATTCGATCGCTGGGAAACAGGAACTTGATGGAGGTGAACAAAAGAAATGAGTTACCAGAAGGTTCAATGCATCTTCTCAAAAAGAAATACTGGATGAAGGTAGAGTGAGTTTGGCATTGGTTCCTTTCTCCCCCAAGGTAAAAAACATCAGGGAGTTGGGAACCAAGACTCAGACCCTTTGCCCAACTTCAATTCTCTCAACTCACTCTCTCCACCTTCAAAGAGAGTTTTAATGAAGACAGAGAAAGTGGTCTTTATTGCCAGCTCTAGGAATGTGAGGTCAAGGCTGGCAAGAGTCGGTCTTCTTCCTCTTGATTTCTTACCCCTATGTCCACACTTCCTCACCTCTGTGCCCTGCAGTGCTTGGTCTTGGAAGCCCTTTCCGACTTGGCAGAGAATCTGGAGGTAGGCCACCTCTGCCGGGTAGTATGCTCCGGCTGGAGAGTGGCATTCGGCCAGCAGGCCTGGGGAGGGCTGTGGGGATGGGGAGTCGACTTGAAGGTTTAGCAGCTGCACCCTGTGGCCGGGACAGGCGCTGAGAGTTGCTGCTAGAAGGCTGTGGGGCCAGGACTGGTCTAGCAGAGGCAGCCGGGCCTGGTACAGAGGAGTAGAGGAATTTCAGGGTAAGTTCCACATCCTAGCTACTCCCACTCACCCCCAGCTTTGCTGCCCAGATCTTCTTACCTGCTACTCCTCTCCCACTGGACCCAGCTTTCCCCTGGTTTGGAGGAGCTGATCGGATTGGAGGAGCTGATCGGGCAAGGGGAGAAGATGCTGGGCTTTTTGATGCAGGGAACAGATTGCAAGTGGGCGATTCCTGAAACACAAAGAGAGAAAAAAAGGACCGGAATGGTGAAAGAATCTGTTGTGCTGGCTTATTAAAGGATAGAGGTGGAGAACTGCCCAGATCCCAGTAAGGATAGGGCAGAAGTTAGCTGCCAACATCATTAACATCATCACCATCACCAATCCCACATATTAAGAGCTTATTATAGACCAGACACTGTGCTAAGTCATTTGTTTGTGGTATTTTGTTTAACCCCAACAGTTCTATGAAGGAGACATCATTATCCCCATTTTACCAGTGAGGAAACCACTCTAGCCTTGCACCATGTCATGCAATGTATCTGGAGGCACACACCCAAACCTAATCATCTAAACTCACCCGCTTCATGCTGACAGGCCTTTTTCCAGATGTTGTCCGAAGAGCCTTGACTGATCCTTTTCTATCGCTGCTCCGGAGTCGGGGTGTCAGGCTACTTGGGGAGGGAGTACTCCGAGCTAAGGGGCTCACAGTGGGCAACAGATCTCGGACAGGACTGTCCTTCAATACAAACGTTTCCCGCCGAGGGCTGGGCTTCACCTGGCGAGGCGCTGGGCCCTCGCTTGCGCTCTCCCGCTCCTGTAGGGCACACTGCTCCAGCCGAGCTGCCAGCTGATTGGCTTCATGGAGGATCTCCTCCAGCTTCTCTGGGCTGAGGGGGCCTAGGCTGAACCTTGGACCCTGGAGGGCGGTGCTCACTGCATTTGGATCGCTTCGGTGGGAGAGGCCCCGTCGGAGTGGTTTCTCTGGAGTCACCAACACAGCTACATCTTCCTCCTCACGACTGAGACAGAAAATAAATTGGGCAACATGCCCTAATGAAAGACAGGGGGTGACTGTGCAGAAGAAGGACTGAGCAAAAACTCCACAACAGAGCCAGGGGGCTCAAATAGTGATGCCCATGCTGACTGTGAGATCTGGGATCTAGGTAACAAGATGTCTGGTTCTATGGGGCCTAATTGGCCTTTAGCATTTACTGACATTGGAAATTCTACCAGGATGAAGATGCAGCAAATCCACTTAGCTGTCTCCTTAACACCCTGAAATCTCACTCCAGATTATTTCTTCTCCCCTCCCCCAGTTGTGCCATAGAGATCCAAGTCAACCAGCCACCCAGTAGCCCCCTGTGCACCAAATCTTGCCAAATGACCAACCCAGGCCCCAGAGGCCAGAAATTCAGCGGTAAGGAAGGAGTTAGGGACAAAGGAGTGTTGTTGGAAGAAAATAAGTGGAATAAAGAGAGGCTGATACCTATCAGATGGTGACAGTCCTCCAAAATCCAATGTCTCATCCACAATAAACTTTACATCTGAAGGAGAGAGAAGAATGAACACAAGCCACTGAGTCTGAAACAGCTCTCAATTACAGGGCCTCTTCTTCCCTCCAGGATTTCTTTACCTTCCTCCAAATTTTCCATGTTCCAGACAACAGAAGCAAGAGTCAGCTTAGACCCGAGCTGAAGAGAAAACCACGTCCTCAGGTCTCCATCCTGCTGAAGGCTCTCAGCCCGACTCAAGGTGCAAGCCAGGAGTTGGGGGTCATGCTAGAGGCAAATCAAAAGGCCAGGGTAGCTCTTGACCCTGTAACTACCCTGCATTACCTTCTCCAGTTCCCACAGGGTAGGCCCAGAGGGTCCGAAAAGTTCCCTCCACATTCCCATCCCCTTTGCAGGCTTCCCTCCCGATCCCCTGCTACCTGGCCTCTCCTCAGTGGGGGGGGGGGGGTCTGCGCGCCCCATCTTCTTCACCACCATTCTCTGGGTCCTTCCTCCCCCCAAGCTACCTTCTGCTCCCCGCGGTACCACACTCAAACCACGCCTCCAGCACCCCGCCAGCTTCCATTCCCAAGCCGCCTCACCTCCCGCGGAAGGTGCTTTCCTCCAACAATCTAGTCCCGGGAATCTGCTACCAGGGGGCGGGGCTCCTTTCAAATCCATTAGGCCCCACCCACTACTACTACATGAGCACAGTGATTGGCGGATCCAAGTATTCCTTGCCCCCAGGGGGGTGAGGCCGCAGAGGGAAGCAAGACGGAAGTCAGCCAGAGGGGCCGGGTCTCCTTGGTTAGGGGTGGTGGGGAGCGGCCCGTTGATCCTGCGGATGTGCTCCTGTACCCGGGAGACCCATGTTCCGCTCGCGGGCGAAGCCGACCCACCAGCAGAGTGTGGCGGCGCTCAAGGGAACAGACCAATGAGCGTCGGGGTCGCGCCCCACCCTCCTTTCAACGCTCCCTCCTCCGGATCCACAGAACTGCTGACTTGCGTGTGGTGGGCGTTTCTCCTGAGCTATCTGGGCCCCCATTGGGGGTCAGCCTGCTGAAAGCGGTCGGTTGGACCAGTCTGGTTACTTAACGCCCGGCGTCGCTCTTGACCGGCCCTAACTCAAGACTGGCCTGGGAAAATCGGTTCTGTGGGTGCACTCACTATGCAATACCTCATAGCCAGATGTTCCTCCGTTGTGATTTTTCTAAGTTATAGAAGAACCTAAACATTTTAGGCATCTAGAGATCCTCTAAAGGAGCTCTGGTGGCCAAGTGCCTAAGGCATTTGACTGCTAATAAAAGGTTGGTGGTTCAAACCCACCAGCCACTCTGCCGAAGTAAGAAGACTGGGCAATCGACTTCTGTAAAGATTTACCGCCTGGGAAACCCAATAGGGCTTGCTATGAGTCGGAATGGACTCGATGGCAGTGAGTTTGGTATTTTTTTGGAGAGATCTTCTAAGACTTACGTTATCCTTTTCCTTTATAAGCAAGAGCATTCTGAAACTGACGTAGCAAGGTGTAAAGAAAATGGTGTTTTTTGTTTTTTTCTTCTGACAGTGTACACAGCAGAACATCCACCGATTCAACAATTTCTACATGGACAATTCAGTGGCATTTATTACAGTCTTGAGGTTATGCAACCATTTTCACCCTCCTCTTACGAATTTTTCCTCGCCCAGTAACACAAACTCACTGCCCCGGAAGTTTCCTATCTAATCTTTCTAGTTGCTATTGAAAACAACAGCAAGGAATATTTGGGTTCAAATCAAGATGGGCAAGCTTGAGCATATTTGACCTCTCTAGGTCTCTGTTAGGGGAGCTCTGGTAGCGTAGTGCCTAAGGCACTTGACTGGTCACCAGAAGGCTGGCGGTTCAAACCCACTAGCCACTCTTCGGAAGGAAGGTGGGGCAAGGAAGGAAGGTGGGGCAAACTACTTCCGTAGTGAAACTGCCTCAGAAACCCAAGGAGGGGTCACTATGAGTCGGTCCGACTGGATGGTACATAACAACAACAAGAACAGGTCTCTGTTAGAAGGAGCTCTGGTGGCACAGTGCCTAATGCATTTGACTGCTTACCAGAAGGTTGGTGGTTCAAACCTACCTGGGTCAATCTGCTTCCATAAGGAAGTAAGGATTTACTGCCTGCGAAACCCAATGGGGGTTGGGATGAGTGGAATCACTTGATGGCAGTGGCCTTGGGTTTTTTTTTTTTTTTGGTTAGGCTTCTAATTACTTGCCCATAAAACGAAGATGACAACACCTGTAAGGATGACTTGGAAGATAATTATGAGTATAAAATGTTATACTGTGTACCCCTAGGGTTTTGAGAGGGTTTTTTGAGGGGATAACAAAGAGCCTGGACTTGAGTCTGCAGTTTTAGAGCACTATTTTGGCCACTGATAGGCCTTTTTGTTTTCTTGTTAATTTTCAGCTCTGAAGTGAGGTGAAGAGGTCTGTGGGAGTGAAATGTTACTGTAATAAAGTAGTAAATACCATTGAAAGCAAAGAAGCCTTGAAATTTAGTGGGGTGATAAAGGAAAGGGTGGGGAAGCCCAGAACTTGCAAGTTTATGTGAACAAGAGCTGAGAGAGGATTTCTCCCTCTCTCTGCAGACTTTCTGGTGAAGGCAGAATTTTAGTTGCTACTTGCAGAATCCAGGGTCTGTAGAGGAGAGCAAAACCAGAACCAGTCACTTCCTTCTCTCCAGATAGGTAGCAGCAAAGTGGAGACCAAAGGGAGTGAAGCTATTAGTTGACTGCATTCGTCCTAGGTGGACCAACCCGTTAAGTGCTCTTCTCCGCTACTATCCAAACAGTTGGCTGTTTGAACCCAGCCACTGGCACCTCGGGAAGACAATCCTGGAGGATCTGCTTTCAAAAGGTCACAGCCTTGAGACTCCTATGGAGCAGTTCTACTCTGAGGTACACGGGGTCACTATGAGTCAGAGCTGACTCCATGGCAACCAAGGGGGAGGAGGGGAACTCTACATTTCTTCACCCTTAAGTGAGCTCCGGTGGTGTGGTGCCTAAGGCATTTGACTACTGACCAGAAGGCTGGCAGTTCCAAACCCATCAGCCGCTCCATGGAAGGAAGATGGGGCAATTTACTTCTGCCTTGGAAACCCAGTCGGGGTCGCTATGAGTTGGAATCAACTCGATGGCAGTGAGTTTGTTTTTTGGTTTTTTTAAATGAGGAAAGAAGTTTTAGCAAATTGAAAGGTAGTTAGTTTCTCCTAAGGAAACTCAGCTCTAGTTTTCTATCACCCAATTATGGTTTGAAAGCTGTTGTGTACCAGAGAAAAAACAATGGAATTACTTCTCCATCAAAATGACAACAAAGCAAGAAAGCATAAATTTGAAGCCCGAGAATTCTTCACAGCATTAGGCCACTAACTGGAAATTATTTGACCCCATCTCAACTCCAAAATGATGAGTGTGAACAGGTGTTTAAGGTACTAGAAAAATAATGAAGAAATGAATGAATGAAGCAATTATACCCATTCCCAGGCACATAGTCAGCCTTAGCTCAGAATGTACTCCATAAGTGTTGGATGCATAAATGAAAAAACTAAGGACTGCAGTGCAGTTCTTCTTGAACGCAGAAGGATTAATTGGGACCAGAGGTCTTGTTCAGTCTGAAGATTTTATTCCTGAGCCAAGAAGATTGAGAATATAGGAATTTTAAGGGATGGCTTTTGCAAACAGTAGAAGCAGGGAGCTGTAGGTAGAGATCCAAGATCTGACTGATTCTTAGGGCATCCTTGGTTTTTTGTTTGTTTGTTAGTTTTTATTTGCTTAATGTATCTGACAGCTTAAAATATCTACAACACTTAACATTAACCATAGGTTGTTGTTGTGGTTGTGTTGTTATGTGTCGTAGAGTCGGACCTGACTAATAGCGACCCCTCCTTGGGTTTCCGAGGCAGTATCACTACGGAAGTAGATTGCCCAACCTTCCTTCCCAAGGAGTGGCTGGTGGGTTTGAACCGCCAGCCTTCTGTTTAGCAGTCAAGTGCCTTAGGCAGTACGCTACCAGAGCTCCTAACCATAGGTTACATACTTCAAATTTAATACAAAGTATAAGTTGTTTCTAAGGAATGTATACATTTCTGACAACTTATTAACTTAAAGAATTATATGCATTTTGGGGAGTTTATCTAACTAAAAATTTTATTTAAATGTGTTGACATTTCATGAGTTAATGTTTCTTTTTTTTTTTTTTAATGTTTTATTGTGATTTGGTTTACAGAGTTTACAAAGCAAATTCATTTTCCATACAGCAGCTCACATACACTTTGTCTCATGACATTGACTGCAATTTTCCACAATGCAACAGCTTCCCTCCCATGTCCTCCCCATAGTTACCTCTTCCCTGTGTCCGTCCTTCCCATGTACTCCTGCCCCCTCCCAGCTGTCTCCCTGTGTATACACTGCCCTTCCATTCTCCCGTGATTGATCTCTCCAAGGAGTGTATCTACCTAATGTTAATGTTCAGTTCATATGCCTATCTTTTGTTTGGCTGGAAGCCACAGGAGTGGGTTCAATTCCAGACCTGAAGGGCAGCTAGAGGCCATAGTCTCAGTGGTTCCATCAGGTTCTATCAGACCAGCAAAACTGGTCCTTTTTTTTTATTTCTTTTTTTAAGTGATTTTGAGTTTTGTTCCACATTATTCTCCTACTCTATCCAGGATCTCCTACATAGATCCCCCTCTGAGTGGTTGACAGTGGTATCCGGGCACCATCTAGTTCTTCTGGTCTCATAGTCATACAGGCTGAGGATTATATGGTGTACCAGTCACTTGGACTAATTGTTTCCATGCATCTTTGGTTGTCTTCATTCTTCTTTGCTCTGGCCAGGGAGAGACCCATCGTTGTATCTAGATGGCTGCTTGCAAGCTTTTAAGATCCCAGTCACTACTTGCCATAGTAGGAGGTGGAACAATGTTTTGTGTGGTATGTTATGCCATTGAGTTTGATATCCTCTGCGACTATGGTCCCGAGCCCACAGATCCAACTTCTTGCTCCCTCTGGGTAGCTGGCTGTGGCCAAGAAGTGACTACAACCTTGTCCCTTGTTAGCTCTACTATGTTGTTGTTGTTATGTGCCGTCGAGTCACACCCGACTCATAATGACTCTTCCTTGGGTTTCCGAGGCAG